CGGTCCAAAACAGTCCAGTGGCACCTTTAACACCAAGTTTTATTCAGGTACAAGCTCTCTCTCCTCTGCGAGGACAGATCTGCACGTCCATTCCACCCCCACCCCCCCAGTAGCTAGCAATCCAAAACAGTCCAGTGGAGCCTGAGCCGTGGGTGTTGCCTTCTGACACACTTCCGGTGATGTCAGGGGTGTATGGCATATGCAAATGAGTTATGCTAATGAGTTATGCTAATGAGCTCCTGCACCTCTTTTTCTACGAAATGACCCCTGAATAACTCAATGCTGTCAAGTCGCAACTGACTTATGGCAAGCCCTCGTGGGGTTTTCAGGGCAAGAGACATTCAGAGGTGGTCTGCCATTGCCTGCTTCTGCAGAGCAGCCCTGGTCTTCCTTGGTGGTCTCCCGCACAAGTACTCGCCAGGGCCGACCCTGCTTAGCTCCCAAACTATAATGAGCCCACATACTAAGCCGGGCTATTCGGGCTGCATATTACAACTTCATAAAAAGAGCAGCTAATTAGCTCAGCAGCAATGATACCTCCAGCCTTGAAGTCCGACAATCTTGGCTTCACTGTGCCACTCAGCAGCCAGAGACCCGGCAAACTTGGCAACATTGGATACACATTGACTGAGCTCATTAGCCACCATTTCCGAGAATACACAAGTCTTCTTTAATATAACATACATGTATTGAATGGAGTGATGCGATTTATTTGACGTTTGGCAAAACCTTTTTGCGCAGTGGTGTGTTTGTGCATTTAGCTCGTACACTGCGTTTTCCATTTAGAAGAAGAGAAGAAGAGATTGGATTTATACCCCGCCCTTCACTACCCAAAGGTGTCTCAGAGCGGCTCACAAACTCCTTTCCCTTCCCCTCCCCACAACAGACGCCCTGTGAGGTGGGTGGGGCTGAGAGAGCTCTTGACAGAAACTGCTCTTTTTCAAGAACATCTGTGCCAGAGTTATGGCTTGCCCAAGGTCATCCAGCCAGGTGCAAGTGGAGGAGTGGGGAATCAAACCTGGTTCTCCCAGATTCAGCCGCCCTGAGCCTCCGGGGTACGGCGGGGTAGAAATTCAAATATAAATATAAATAAATAAATATAAATTTAGAGTCCGCGCGCTTAACCACTACACCACACTGGCTCTCATTTAATTTTGCATGTGCCATGAACATATTCATCCGTGCATCTAGGTAACCAATGACTGCAACTTCTTCCAAGTGCCTCTTCTTGCTCAGGTTTTCCCAGTGCTGCTTCGGGACATCAGCAATGACAGCAGACAGAGCTACATTCGTGTGCCATTCAAGTCTTTGCCTCCTGATGCTGGTAAGCCAACACCAATAGCGTGGAATGCCAAAAAGACAAATCCGTGGTGGGTTCTAGATCAAATCAAGCCTGATTTTAGAAGCTAAAATGACTCAACTGAGACTAGCGTACTTTAGAGGTATAATGAGAAGTCCAGAGTAATTGAAAACGACAAAACGGCTAGGAGAATTTAAGGCAGCAGGAAAAGAGGCAGACCCAACATGAGATGGATGGACTCCATCAAGGAAGCCCCAAGGGCCCTCCGTTTGCAAGACCTGAGCAAGGCTGTTAATGATAGAGGACCTTTTTAAAAAGGTAAAGGTTTCCCTTGCTCAAAAGCCAGCCGAATCCGACTCTAGTGAGTGGTGCTCATTTCCATTTCCAAGCCGAAGAGCCAGCGCTGTCCGAAGACGTTTCCATGATCATGTGACCGGCATGACTAAAGGCCAAGGTGCACAGAACGCTGTTACCTTCCCACTGAAGCGGTACCTATTTACCTACTAGCAGTTTCTTGCTTTCAAACTGCTAGGCTGGCAGGAGCTGGGGCCAGAGACGGAAGCTCACTCCGTCACACCGCATGAGGGTCTCGAACTGCCGAACTAATGGCCTTCCAGTCTGCAGTTCAGCGTCTTAACCTCTGAGCCACCTTTTTAGAGGTTGCTAATTCATAGGGTCACCATAAGTCAGAAGCAGCTTGGCAGCACTAAACACACACATACCTATATGTTTTACATAATTTTTTCTGCTAACGAGAAGGAGGCACAAAGGCTATGCCAAGCACTGAAATGCAACCCTTGGAGGACATTAATTCATAGTGTCGCTGTAAGTCAGAAGAGACCTGATGGCACTTCACACGCACACACACACACACACCCCAGACAACACAAACTTCTGTGGAAAGATGCTGTTGCGCTCTGACATGGGCCTCCCGTAAACTCAAACCAGTTTTTAAACTGGCCGGACCGGTAACGGTTTCGGCAGAAAATCCCACCTGCATCACAAAAATTACAACCTCAAAGGTCTGGCACAATTTCCCACCAGGAAACCCCTTGGCCTGTACAGGTGGCAGAACCCGCCGCCGCTTCGTTCCCCACAAATAGCTGGAAGCGAGAAAATGTTATTCTCAACTGGTAAAATGCCAGTCACTGCGATGGGTTTGAGTGCGCGTTATCACACATCAGGGAGGATTCTACGCGCCTGGGAGTTGTGTGCATCAAAACACACCGCACACTTGCATGTACACACAGAGGACTATGTGGTCCTTGTCAGAGGGGGCGAGATCATCTGTAGCATAAGGAAGGTTTTGTCCTCACTGCAACTGTTACATCAACTGCAGCATAGTCCCTTCCCCCCAAGAAGGGAATTGCAAAGGACGCATGGGGAGGGGACATCCCATTACCCCAGGGATTCCCGTTTCCCCCTCCAATCCAGATCTCCCCCTCCCAGCCTAATTCCCCACTGCCCACAGTAGCTCCGGCTACAGGCCTCCCCCCACTGCACTTTGCCCGTTTCTCATTTGTTGCCATGTCACAGCTGACTTATGGCAACTCAGTAGGGTGTGCATAAGGTCCCTGTGGGGCCTTATGCAGTTCCGCAGGGCCTGCATGACGGAGCTCTTCCGCCAGGCTTTCGCATAGGGGCCGCCGCTGCCACCATCACCACCAATGGTGGCGATACCTTCGGGATTAGGAATCGCCCTTGGAAGTTCCGCCATAAATTGCATGGCATTGTCAATGTGGGATTGGCTCGAACTATCTGCTGGACAGTGCCACCCCAATGGGGAGGACTGAGGACGCCATCAAAACCACTCAAGACCGCCTTGTTTACAGAAAGCACTTTATTATTGTTATTGTTATTAGTATTCATGATTTTACTGTTTTATCTGGTTTTATGTGTGGGCTCATGCCCCTTGTAAGCCGTCCTGAGCCCGCTCGCAGGGAGGGCAGGGTAAAAATGCCTAAATAAATAAATGGCAAGAGACATTCAGAGGTGGTTTGCCATTGCCTGCCTTTGTGTGGACACTGTGGACTTCCTCGGGGGTCTCCCACCCAAATATTGAACAGGGCCGACCCTGCTTAGCTTCTGAGATCTGACAAGATCCAGAAAGGTCAGGGCTACTTTTTCTAAATACCTAAATAAATATAGAGCTGCACACTCTCTTCCACCACACACAGAGGATCTCATTTATGCAGGCCAGAGTGAAATATGCAACAGGTGCACATGACACGGAGCGACACTAACATTTCACAAAGTCGACTACAAGTACCGGTACTTCAGAACCCTACGTCTTACAACGGTGGCGTGCGTGGGCGCACAACCAAAATGCAATTTCTGAAATGGCTTTCAAAGCTGATGGATGGATTCACCAAATGCTTAATTTCCTTCTCTGGTTGACTATAATTAGTTGGTACGTTATGCCATTAAGAACATGGCAAGATGACACGTAAACCGTGTTAACTATTGTCCCGTTATTATTGTCACTGTCATTATTGCCCTCACGATCTCTCTGTCACACAAACACATACCCCTTTCCTGCTGTAATAACCCGGCAAGACCATTTTAAAACTTCAGTTCATTTTTGGAAGGTCTGGTTTCAAAGATCTGGTGGTTTAGGTTTCTAGACGCACCACAAGGCTAGTAAACATAAAAAATATCGATTCCCTTTAGGGTCAGTGTATCATTAGCCATCATTTTTTAAGCAACAAGGCAAAGACGTTTTTATGAACTGGGTAGGGAGTTGGGTTATAAGAACTTGCAACCTGCCTGTAAGGGTCAGTGTATCATTAGCCATCATTTTTTTAAGCAACAAGGCAAAGAAGTTTTTATGAACTGGGCAGGGAGTTGGGTTATAGGAAGGGGCTGTGGCCATAGTCCAGCATCTGCTTTGCATACTGAAGTTCCCAGGTTCCAATCCCCAGGCACCTCCAGTTAAAAGGACCAAGGAGCAGATAATGGGAGAGACCCTGAAGAACCTCCGCCAGTCAGACTAACCAAAACTGAGCTTGCTAGACCAAGGCCCTGGTCCTATATAAGGCAGTTTCATGTGTTCCAGCTAATATCCCACCCACACGCATGGCTACTGAGAAGCATTAAAGCCTAGAAACTTACTTAACGGCTCTATCTGCAAAGGTCTTTTTAAGGCATTTGCCCCTAATCACGATCCAAGGCAGAAGAGGTAAACATTCCCCTTGGAAGTTCTTTGCAACACAGAGTTCATAATGACATCATCTATCCCACGTGACCGCCGAAAGGCATTAGGGACTAGTAACTTCAGTTTCCTGGCTTTACACACACAGGTGCCTTAAGAAGGGTGCTTCCCCACCCCCTGCTCAAAACCAAGAAGGGGGCCGAAAGGGGGAACTGAAACGCGCTCCGCTGAGCAATGCCTTGCAGCGGCAGGTGTTCAGAGCGGCATCTCCGAACCCGCATTCCGAATCTGCTCGTAAACAACCCGGGCGTGGTAGTTATTCCGGAGCCGGGATCCGTCCCGGGGATCTCGCCCACAGATTAGGATGTTTTTGAGCCGATTATAATTGCTCACATCTCCGGATGCAGGAGGGCAGCGGGGGGCCGCCACCGCCTGGGACCGGGGGAAGCAGTAAAAGAAAGCGGCTGGTCAAGGCGAACTCTCCCTCCGCCTGCCTGCCCGCTCGCCCACCCCCGGGGGTCTCCAGGTCCCTTCCCCTCCGCAGCTTACCGGAGAGCCCGCCGGCGGCGGCGGTGCAAGGCTGCCGCAGGCTGGGCGCCAGGTTCCAGGCGAGAAAGGCCGACAGCCCAGAGACGGTGCCGGTGGCCGCGTAGGCCAAGCGGATCGCCAGCTTCCGAGAGACCGCCATCGCCCCCCTCGCCGCCTCCGCCTCCTGGAAGCCCGCCGCCGCGCCGGTCAAGTCGGGGAGCTCGGCAGGACTCGGCGGAGGGTGTCGAAGGTCGCTCCGCCTCCCCGGCTACGGCTCCGCCTCCCCGGCCTGCCCGGCGACGCCCCGGTCTGCAGCGGCTCCCTGCGGCCAAGGGGACTCGGTGCGCCGCGCCAGGGCACCTCCTCCTCCAGCCCCGGGAGGGTGACGTCACCGCCCTTGGGTCCCCGCCCGGGAGGCGAAGGCGGCGGCGCCGCGGCTCCGAATGGGATTTCCCCCTGCGCGCGGACGACTCGATTCCGATCGGGTTGTTAACACGCCCATTACCGCTTTGGAGTCGGAGAGCAATTTTCCTCCAAGCTACTTTGGCCAAGGGTCCTCCTGTCCTGGGCAATGTTCCCTCTAAGCTGTGGAGTCTTGTGAGCAGTGTTCCCTCTAAGCTGAGTTAGTGTGAGCTAGATTTTTTTTCTCAGCTCAGGAAGGTGGGCTCCAGAGCACACTGATTTAATGCAGCAGCCAAATGGCTCGCTCAGAACTTTAATGCCAGTAGCTCACAAAGTAGAATTTTTGCTCACAAGACTCAGTAGCTTAGAGGGAACATTGCTTGTGAGCAAAAATTCTTCTTTGTGAGCTACTGGCATTAAAGTTGTGAGTGAGTGATTTGGAGACTGCAGAAATTAGCTTGCTCTGGAGCCCTTCTCCCTGAGCTAAAACAAAAATCTGTGAGCTGGAGGCTGAAAATCTGTGAGCTAGCTCACACTAACTCAGTTTAGAGGCAACACTGGTCCTGGTGGGGGTTTTTTTTGCTCTCTTCTGGGCATGGAGCAGGGGTCACTGGGTGTGTGTGTGTGGGGAAGGTAATGGTGAATTTCCTGCGTTGTGCAGGGGGTTGGACTAGATGACCCTGGAGGATCCTCCCT